CTTGTCTCCCCTTGGCGCCGGCTTCACTTTTCGCGTTAAACGCGGCTTCTCTGGATTGACGGCAGAGCTTGTGTGTGTGTCGAACGGAACAGAGGTGGGGCTTGCTGGTTTGCAACTGCGGCTTCGAATTCCCTACCTAGGGCCTTGGGGAATACGAGCCCTTTCAAAGATGCGACTATACATAAATTAAAGAGACAGTGCCTGTGCCCGTTCGAGTGAACACCGACTCCCAAACATCCATGCTGCAGTCGTGATCGGCCTTTAGCGCAGTTGAGATTCGCCAACCGGACAACCGCTCTGCCCCATCATATCTCTGCACCTCTCCTCTCGACCCTGACGAATGAGCTAACTACCCAGAAACAAGTAAGTGTTCCTTTCATACAGAAAATATCCAGAAGAAGTGCAATTGAATATAATTTGGAATGATCCATTGCTGGTTTAATGTCTTGTCTAAGTTTAAAAGTTATAGTTGCCGAACTGCAACATGCTTTCAAAAATATTCAACAATTATTCGCTTTCGTTTTCTCGAGTTGCATCCAGAACACGTGAAAACACGAGTTTGAATTGGCAATGCCGCATGTGCTGCGCTCTGGACATTCCAAATATACGGCGAACAACCGACGAACTTGCCTGGCAGCGTTCGTTTCGCTCGCTGCGTCAACAGTGTTTTGACGCCGCGAGCAGCGTCGAAGCCGCCGAGCCATTTTTGTCGCTTGTTTGCAACGTACTCGCTCCATTGATTTAAGCCGCTCTTCCCGTTGCCGCAGCGGTTGAGCACTACCTCCATCCAGAATGTCTGCCAAGGCAATGTCAATGAAAAGTATGTTTTAAAACCACTTTCTGCATTTTGGCACTGAATATAAAGTTCTAACTACTATGCCAAGCTTAATCTCAAAGAACAGCCGAGTTTTAGATTAAAACGTTGTTCGCAATGTCATTAGCTGCATGAGCTTCCTCCGTATAGTTGGCAAAGGTTGGCTCTCCGTACATGCTCTGCGGGTGTAACGAGAATATATAAATATTCAAGCAAAATGAGCCCAAAAGTTGTAGCCCCGCCGGGGATATCTCAGCCATCAAGTTACACGGTCTGCAATTGTCACAGCCGCTATAGCACCAAACATTCATCCCCAGTAGCTAAACTTCTTTTTCTATTTCTACCGCGCTGCCACGCAAATGGAGCAATCCCGTTTCTTATGAACTACAAAATTCCTTGCGTTATGGTGTTCAGAAAGGATAGTGCCGCCACAATTTTCTAGATACTTACCTCTAGCGTGGTCACCCAAAAGGTTTTAATTCAAAGAGTTCATCCGCGACCGGTAAACCGATACAAAAGCTCTCAAGATCTATATTATGTTATCAGAGTTTAGTAAAAACGATAACCCCACAAAAAATATAAACACTCTCCACCCCCCCCCCTTCGCCGTTTTACACCGAGGAACCGCCCCCCCCCCCCTTAAAATGGAGGTCTGGATCCGCCCCTGCATCACCTCGACAGGAGGTAAGCACGACAAAGCATGTGAGCGGCAATGCAAGGACAGTTGATTTGGTCTTGGTTGTTGTCCAAGGACAATACCTAATAATTTGCCGACACTATTTATCTGTGTCCATGCAATGAAGCACACAATTTCCAACTTTGACGGAGAATGCCGCTGAGTGACTTGAAAAAATAGAATGGTTGGTTGTTCTCAAAAGTGGACACCAAGCATCACCCGACTTCACTTTGCCACACGAGACTTACACAAGTTGCAGTGGTCGCGGGATACAGAAAAAAAAATCTTCATTACCAAATGGAAGTGAAATGGCTTGGATAGCAAACAAACACTGCTGCCTGTTGCCAGCCATCAAGTTAACACTACAGCAAAAGGCACAGCCATGTAAGCACTACATGCCCGAGCTTGCTGCATTGACACAGAGAACTACCAGGAAAATTTGCGGACTAGAAGCCAGCTCTGCAGCTTCAGTGCATCAAATGTCAGTGGCCGCACACGGCGTATGATTACAAGACGGCATCTGTCGGTCAAAGCTGCCACTCGACCAAACTGAACACCGACGTGCCAGGAGCGTCATCCGACAACAAGGAGCACAGGCACTACGACTGGACGTTTGACACAAGGCTGTCGCAGAAAAAAACTCGTTATGGAACCATTTTCTAAGAATAAATAATTATGTAATTAAGTGGAAATAAGCATATTTTATACACTTATCAGATAAACATATTTCCAGTCGCCTTTACGCCTTCAGAGTCTCTACACAAAGAATTATATTCACGGCATGTGCTGGACCTTTTGAGGACACCCGCATCTCTGACCCCTCAATATTAATTAATGGGACATACCAGACTGGCAGACTGTTTGCATTGGGCTGCACTCGTTCCACTTCTCCTGAACATGTGGAACATGTGGCGCATCCGAAAACCAACTCCAGTGATGTGAAAATGTTGTTTATTAATTTATTCCCCCCAAGGGCCTCTGTAGGCATTGCAGAGAGGATATTTAAAGCTACACACGTGATAACATCAAAGCACACGGACATTATTGAGCACAAACCAGGCCCAGCTACCGAAAATAAATATTACACTAGTAAGAAATAATTATTGCTGCAACTTGTTGAGTGCAAAAACAAACACACCTCTGAGCATCTAGTTTAACAGTATGGATGCATTGTTGTATAGCAAGACACTTCCTATACGTATGACACACTAGACCCTTTGCAGAACCCCATCAAGCAACACAACTGTCACCATTTTGTTTCGACGTAAAGCACACGAATTGGCCCCAGTCCACGTCGAATGCTAATGCAGCATTCCAGTCCAATAGGCGCTGAGCCGAGTTCACAGTGATGGCGGACATAACATTCTTGTCGAACAAATGCCCAAAGTATGAAAGCCTGGGGTAATTAGAATAGTAGCTAGTGTAATTCGTTTCATCACAATTTAACAAACGGCAAAGGCTAGTGTCGGTGAGCCAATTTGCACGTGGGAGACAGGCACATGACAACATGTCATTCAGAGTGCTCGTCTGCACAGATTTGTCACACACCTTCGCTCCGTGTCTCTGATTGGCTCGAGGGGGCTGTGGCGGTTTCCCTTTTCCAAGTTACAATAATACGAAGTATAGGCAGCCCACACTTTTCAAAAAAGTCTATTGAAAAGACCGAAAGGAATGGTCAACATTTTTCAACAAGACTGCTCTTCAGGCAAGGGATGAACACATATGTGAATAATCTTATCCAGGGAATTAGAACAAGTACGCTCTTGATGAAAAAAAAAGTATTGCTGCAATAAATTTTACAAAAGAAAAAAGGTGCAGTTAATCCATGCATACACCAAAACAGTTGTTCTTATAGCAAGTCGAAGAGCTTTGAAGCAGGTACCTGCAACAATTTGTTCATCCCCACACTCAATAAAACGTCATCCTCGTAGCTGGAAATGAGTGTGCACTTCGCACTCACAAAAAAAGGAAGAAAATCGATCGAATGTAGAATCGTCGATTAGCACAAAAGGTTAAAGATCGCAGCAGTTTCCTCGCTAAAAGTTGCTATGGTTATTCACTGACGCAGGGCTGAAACAACTTCCCCTAGGCCCTAACGCGACGTATACCTTTCGCTTCGATTGTCAGACATTTCAACGTCCAAACGAAGCTAGAAAAATGCGAATATTTTGTGCCTGAAGTTATATCGTAAAATTGTTGATAAGTGCAAAACCTAACGGTCGCAGGAGCTTCCTCGCTAAACGTTGCTGTGATTATGCAGTTACCCAGGGCTGAAACAAATTCCCCTAGGCCCTACATCCGACGCATACATTTCGCGTTGATTTTCAGACATTCCAACGTTCAAACAAAGCTAAGAGAATGCGAAAAGTTTATGCTAACTAAGCACTCAATGTTCTATCGATCCTCGAACAGATCTCGAATCCGAGCACCGGTACGGCGATACGGCTGATGCTGTCGCACAGGTGTTAATACTCAGATGATCCAGAGCGATCTTGCGCAAAAAGGGTATAAGTCTCAATCCTTCATATTTTCACATTATACCTGCGTCAGCGCGCACGAAAAAGCGCGAAGTCGTCGGAAAGCCGCTGCACATCACGGCTACCGCGCACCAAACAAACTCGCATCCGCCAGCTCTGGGCGCTGCCATCTTACCTATGACGTCACGGCTCTTGAGAGGTCACCGTGACGAGTAGTCACTTTTGCGTAAAACATGGCGGCAACCGCGGGGGAGGGGGGGGGGTGCCACTTCCGAACTTCCGGTTTATCACTCAAGCCCCTCTACCTCGTTGGATAAAACCTACCAGACGGAGCGCGCGCAACCCTGCAAGGAATCTGTGGTGATCTTATCACGCCACGCGCGGGCGTGGCTGCCCGACGGACCTGGCCTAGCCTGCCAACCGGATATGTACCCCTTTTCCCGCGCGGGGGAATTCCCCTCGCCCGCGGACTGCGGTGACTGAGGTATGTGGGGAGCGGAAGAGAAGACGGGGAAAGGAGGTGAGGCCAAGAGGGAAGACCTGCCCGGGAGCGGGTACTTGGAAATAAAAGACCAGAGGCCAGATTCACGAAGAGCTTCTTATACCCCATTCACACGGGCTGCTAAAGGACCTGTAGCTTAGGTCCCTTAGCTAAAGGTACCTGTATTAAACGGCGTTCGTGATCACACGGTAAATAAACGGAGGGTTTAAGGTTGATGTTTACTGCACCGGGGATAGCCAGGCTAAACCGAGGGGCGAACGAGCAATATATAATATTTTGTCTAAACAGGTTTGAGACACATGCATTACTTTATTAGAAGCAGAATATATTGTTTTAAAACCAATTAATAATTTTTTTTGTTTTAATTTTATTGCATGGTGGAGGTAAAAAATCTTTTCTTTAGAATGTCTAGCTGTTATCGAATCCAAATCCAAAAGAGGTACGCGGTCGAGGCAGGTCGAGTGGTCGAGTTGCAGGTGCGAAACGTGGTCCGGTGATCGAAAACTCTTTGTGAAACATCGCGCCGTAGTGATGGAGGTGACTGACGGCGACGAGCGTCTTGCGATGGACGATGACGATTGCATGGGCATTTTGTGGTCGCTGCATCAGCGGCGGATCGAATTTAATCAGCTCGAGGAAAGCATTCAAGCCACCGAAGAGGCAGCGGACGAACTCGAGGAGCAGCTTGTGGGGACGAACTTCACTGTCGCCGCTCTTTTGGCTCAACGGTTCACGAGGATCCCTCGTGAGAGGGCAATGTACGTTCGGTCGGGGAGGTGGTTTGAGGAGACGCTGCCTAGGCTGGGCGAACAACACTTTCGTGCCTGCTTTCGTGTGTCCTCAACCACCTTCCGGTACCTCGTGGACGTCTGCCGCTCGTCGATGCAACGGCAAGACACAGCCATGAAAACTGCGATCACAGTGGAAAAAAGAGTAGCCATAAGCCTTTACAGGCTCTGCTCCACGGCGGAGGAACGGACAATCGGCCACCTTTTCGCTGTGGGACAATCGGTGGTAAACGAGAGCTACCGCGAGTTCTGCGACGTTGTAATTCAGGAACTGGAGGCCAGAACGGTTTCGATGGTTAGGAACGAGGACCTCGAGCACCACATGCGCGAATTCCAGGCAGTCCTGGGATTCCCCAACGCCATCGGTGCTCTTGACGGCTACCACCTGCCCGTGTCGCCGCCGAAAGACTCGGCTGTCGACTACCGCAATTACAAAGGCTGGTGAGCAAACAGTGACACTCGTTTTCTCGGGGTAACTTTGCTCATTTCATATAAAATTACGGGGTTATGAATGCTTTCGCGCGAGCAATGCTGGGCCGTTCAGTGCAATTTGGTCCTTGGAAAAACTAAGCAATTTTAATAATTCGTGCCTCAAACATACGGATAAACCAAAAATATACGCTGGTGCAGTCACACCAGGGACCATTCTCGTTTTCTTCAGCATTACAGACATGATGTCACTACACTCGCGGACAACTTTGTGTGTTGAAACGAAGGGAGGAGGAAGGCATGTGCGAAATGATGAACGCACCCTCTCCTTACAATAGACTTAATAGCCACAGAAAGTTGCCCGTGGGTGTAGGGCACCCATGATGGCTGTGTCAATTTCGCTGCCTGTGGGCTCTCTTGAACAAAAAGTTGCAATTTCAGGAGCACACAATTTAGCTAGATCTGTTGCATGCAGTACTGCTGCTGTTCCTTGCTCACATGTGGTCACTTTGTTTTAGGTACAGCGTCATCCTGTTGGCGTTGGTGGACCACAGGTACCTTTTTCGGTACATCAGCGTGGGCTCCCCTGGCAAGTGCCACGATGCCAATGTGTATGGGCGATCCCCGTTGGGGCGTCTGCTCGAGGACTACCAGGTGGCTGTGCCAAGAACCATTGGTGGCACAGAAATACCACCCATCGTCCTGTGTGATCAGGCATTCCCCCTCACCAGGAACCTGATGAAGCCCTTCCCCCACAGTTTAAATCACCCTCAGGACGAAGGCGACTTCAACTACGCCCTCTCCAAGGCCAGGCGTGTTGTGGAGAATGCGTTTGGGCGTTTGAAAGCTCGATTCAGAATCGTCCTCAAGCGAATGGAGGTTCGCATCGACAATGTCAACGCCGTCGTCCGAGCGTGCTGCATACTGCACAACGTCTGCGAGACGCTCAACGACAGTGCGGACAAGCAGTGGATCCAGGACGCCCGGAAAGTGGAGGAGGATGACAAGCTGGAGCAGCCGAGCCGCAAAACCAAGGCCAAGACGGACAGTGGCACTGCGGTGCGCACTGCACTTGTTGCCTATTTTGGTGCTAACCCACCCCCCAAGCGCAACCAAGCTTCAGCAGAGGCACTGTAATTTGTTCAGCGTTGACCTTTCCCTGGCAGGCAAACTGTGCTTGCATTTAGGATGTTTCACCTCAGTCGAACTTTGCATAGAAAGTTCAAGAAAGCTGAACCTTGTCAGGTTCACGACATCCCTACAAACAAGTGTCCTAATTCTCCACAGGTGTAGTAATAAGCAAGGAACCAATCTTTTTTTTTCTACCATGATTGCCGATATTGATGTGTCTCTTTGAAAGAAAGGTATTTTACTGAATTTTGGTGTAGTTGCATGTGATGCACATCTTTAGGATAATAGTATTGTACCCACATTTCATCATCAACTCACTTGAACCTTTAGAAAATACTAGTGGGTCTGACGTTTATCCCAAACAATTTGTGTTTGTCCCGCCTTGATCAAAACGTCTGCAATTGGGTTTAAGGCCGAACAACGATCAAAGCAAGCATTGCATGCCAATGCTTGGAACCCAAACTCAAATAAAAAGGAGGCTATTTCTTAGCATTTACTTTTTTACTTTTGAGCTTTCGATTTTAGGAACTGGAGGAACTCTCGCTGCAGGTCATTCGATTCCTGCATGATTGCAAGCTGGCGCTGCCGGTCCCTGTGAGTTCTTTCCCTCGCTTCTCGAAGTTCTTGTCTCTGCGCCCTCTGCTCCTCGAGGACCAACATGACGAGGTCTGCCTGTTTGCAGGAAGACTTTTTTTTTTTTTTTCTGTTGTGGTTCCACTGCAAGTTCTTCAGGAGGATCCACCGTCTCCTGTGACTCCTCAGGAGAGATGTCTTCAGGTTCCTGATAAAAACCAATGAGTGCTCATCAGAAGGGCCCATGACTTAAAGATACATGCATAACTTAAAGAGGATTATGCAACGATATTTGGTTTGAATGTTTTTCACTTTGTGCAAGAATACTAATCTTACCTTAATAATCTTACCTTTTCATATCATGTTACACAAATTGTTGCTTCTGCCTTTAGAACAATGGGGATGATATCACGTTTGACGCATGATTTTTCAAATATAATGTGCGTAGTTCGATTGTTTTGTTCCCTTGTACGAGTTAAACTTGAGTTTTGTAGTTCAGTGTGGAATTCGCTAACAACGACCGACGCTGCACGGATAGAAAGAGTTCAGAAGCGATTTATACGCCTTGTTTACGATGGATATTTTGATAGAAAATGTTATTTTGATTATGAATACCTTCTTAAAGAACTTTCACTCCAGAACCTTTCAAAAAGAAGGATTGCTCGTGTCATTATATTTTTATACAAAGTGGTTCACGGCCAAATTGATAGCAATCTTGTATCGTCTTTGAACTTTCATGTACCGGCCCGAGTCGTTAGAAACTCAAGCGTGTTTTATAGATCTATCCAAACAAGACCGTCCCCTTTGGCTAGAATGCAAATTTGTTTAAATGAATTTCCGACTCATGTAGACATATTTTTAAATTTTGCTGCGTTATAACGACTACTTGATATGCATATTTTTGGTTTATGATTGTGAAATGTTTTAATTTCGAGAGCATATGTCGGGGGGGGGGGGGGGGGGGGGCTTGAGATTGTGTACTGTTTTAGGTGTTCTTTTTTTTTCTCTTTTTAAACTTTTTATGTGCCACCACACTGTAACCAATAGGTTGTTCTGGGGCATTATACAAATAAAGGATTATTATTATTATACTGTCCCTAGCATGACCTAAGGATACTCGAACGACAAGTCATGACTCCAGAAATTGTGTTGTTACGTAGCAATTCCAAGAATAAAAGCGGACAATTTTTTCAGTCTGCTTTGAAAAGCTTGACGATGTGTCGTGGGAACCACAATTTGGATGTACCCTCGGGGTGCACCTCGTGATGACGATTGGAGACAACTCAACCTAAGCTTGTAACAATGAAAGCCTCAGCAAGCACTGGGCAGCGACTCGTTTTCAATCCACGAATGATGAAAGCAGTCAAACTCTAACAACGTCTGGAGCTCAGCACATGCCCTGTGCTTTGCCAACCCCAGTGCGTGGCTATGATAAACATTGGCGGCATATAAACGCCAGCCAGGTCATGTAGTCACTTATTCTGGCTGCGAGTTGAATAGGCGAAGGCTGCTCGTGTATTTTTTTGCATGTAGGAAGAAATTAATGCACGTTATGAACGTCATTATTTAATGAAAGAGAAAATCTTTTCTTGGGCCCTTAATATTCCAACAGAGAGCCCACCTGAAACCAAAACGGGTAAAAAAATTGTGAGCCATTTTTTTTTTAAAGCATATGAGATCACTGCAATACCTGCAAAGCATCTCCAGGTAGTGAGTCGTCCACTAAGCTTGGGTCGTTCACCGGCAGGCCCCCAAGGAATCTATGCAGATCATAAAAGTAGGGCCAGGTCACCTTCCCAGACCCGGTTGTCTGGTTTTTTTTCTTCGTCCTGTAAACAAGAAATATATATATATATATATAAAAAGTGTTCCTACGTATTAAGCAACTGAATGGGGCTTGCTGTCACCTGGGTACAATATTTCACCTGCATTTCCTTTTTTCCACTGTGAATCCAGCCATACACAAACGTGGACCGAAATATTTTGTGGAAAATTCAGTCTTAACCAAGGGGGTTGGCAATGTATTTTGGCTGCAACTAGAATTGGAACAGGTGAACCAAGAGCCCTTGTCACGTTCTGTGAATTGCCTTTTTTGTGTGTGTGTGTGTTCTGTTTCAGGGATTGTCAATGGAAATAGTAAAAAAACGTTATTTCTCAGGGCCTGCGTGCCAAACCCACGAAGGACATATGATACATCCAAGAGGAGGACTAAAAGCTGGGGATCTGTTAAGGTGAAGGCAAGAGCCTTCCGCGTCCAATGGTTGACACCTCGGCCGAGATTTTAACCCACCACTGGGGACCCATAGGTCAGCATTTTGCCTCGTAGACACTGAGGCGACACACTCGAACATTACCGCTAAATTAGGTCGTGCTGATCAAAACGATTAATTTACTTACTATTTGTCGCAGTGACATCAAATACCGCATTTCGTCAAGTTTAAGCTCGGCGAGCGGGCTCCGAGAGTCGGCGAGAGGGCACAGGTGAGCAGCAACCTCAAAACTGGCTTACCTGTATGTCTGGTTGAGGTTGTCGATCTTATCGCTCACTTGTTTCCGTGTCTTGTCGATGGACAGCCTCTCCAGACCGAGGCGTATGGTCTCGTAAACTCCGGCGTTCCTCCTTTGACGCCGGAGTTCGCCGATGTTGTCCTCCCAGAGTCGGATTAGTGACCATGTTTCCGCCTCGGACCAGTGAACTCGAGGGCCTTTCCCACTGGTGCCGCTAGTGCTTGCACCCAAGTTCACTGGTCCACCAGGCGAAATCATGGTCACAAAAATGCTCTGGGCAGGCGAAGCGGACGACTCCTCGTCGCTACTCGGAGCACGAAAAGCTGGTACAGCCGCCATTGCGTTCGTGCCACCGCTGCTGCCCGCTATCGCGAGTATAAATTTGGTACTACCATCTTTCATCAGGTTTGTGCTCACGTTTACTTTATAATTTTTGCCTTGCAAATATTCTTTTATTAAAGTGCAATAAACGAAGCAGAAGCGTATACGCTAGACTTTTTTTATTGGAGTTCCTGGGTCCGAGGCTACTCCCTGTAGCTGTAAAGGGAGGTCTGCGAGCTCCGTTTATTCTTAAGGCTCCTTTAGCGAAAGGGACCTTTGTGCGCCGTGTGATTACGAACTCCATCTCCCTTTAGAATAGGGACCTATGCTAAAGGTACCTTTATACCGCACGTGTGAATGGGGTATTAGTTTACGACAACTTAGCTAAGAAGTTCGTAAGTTAAGAACATCGTAAGAAGAGGAGAAATCGGTATTCACGAACGCGTTCTTAAGTGAGAGGAGGAAACCGACGTTGTCGTACGGAAAAACTAAAACTTACCGGTGCTGTTGCTATGGCGACGGCGTCTTCGGCAGCACGAACAACCAATCGGAGAGCTCGGCATTTGTTCGGAGCCGTTCGGAGCCGTTCGGAGCACGTGGATTTTTCATAACAAACACAGGCGGCCTTTCTGCCACCGCTGGTCTGGGGTTCGTATCCGTGCAGTGACATGTCGACGGTAACACGATTTAAACTCGCCCGAATGCCGAGGCCGGGATGCGTAACCGCCCCCATTGACTGCTACGAACTCGATCGCTACCAAGTCAACACAACTGTCATCGTTGGTAAAAGACGGCCCGTGTCAGTCGTTTGCAAAGCGGCGTAGATGGGAACAAATCGCCGCGGCGTTTTTTGCGGCCTCGGAGATGCAGGAGCGAGCCGACGTTAAAAAAAGATACGTTTGAACTACGACAGCGTAAGCAAGAGCCACGTAAATGCTTGTTTACACTACGGAGCGGACGCGCGCGTTTGATCGAAGTGCCGGATTTGCGCTGTTGGACCGCGAATTGATAAGCGCTTCGGGACCGATCCTTTACAATTGCAACTCGATGCTGACGTGACACCCGGCGAAGAAAGGTTGGACCGGTATTGCGACCCACGAACTGTTACAGCGATCGACAGTGAGGTGCAGTCGTGTCAGAATAAAATGGAATACTAATAACAAAGTGTACATACCATGTTGCGAAGGTAATCCATACGGCGTTTATTTAAGCTTGATATCACACAAAACAGAGATAGAATCGATGAGAGCCCCTTTTCGACGACAGCGTTCGTCACCGTTGCCTCGGAAAACAAGGAGATAACAAGATGAAGAAATTGACCTCTTAATCTAAAATTGAGGTCAGCGATCAAACTATAATACGGGAAGGGTTCACAAGGGTCGCGCGGGCATATTCCACTCAGCACGCCAGCCGGTCGTGGGCAGACGGTCTTCGCCAAGGACCGTCAGATCATCGCTGCGCCGAGTCGTATTGCCTGCTAGGCCTATCTGCCGATCGGTCGGAGTCCGTACTCGTGGCCCTTGGAGTTTTTCCCGGGTGCCTGTGGATCCAGCGTTCTTGTTCGTTCGTCGTGGTCTGTTTCAAGTACTTTTTACTTGTTGCTTGCTGCTTGAAGTCGGGACGCGTGAGAAGCGCACGTAGAAAAATAAACATCCGTTGGTTGTCGCGACCAACTGAGCGACGCTGTCGGCCATGCTGATTTGATCGTAAGAAGTGCGTAAGACAGCTTCGGAGCTGTCGTAGGATTTCGTCGTAACCTGCGCAAAACTTACGAAAATTTCGTTTCGTGAATACGGATTTGTTCTTAAAGGGCAACTCCGCTTCATTTTCGATGCTGAAAAAACGACGCAGTTCTCTTTAGTATCACCTAGAAAGACTACACGTCAAGTTTTACGACGTAATTAAGCCTAAAAGTTTGTTAAACTGGTAAACAAAGTTTGAGATGCCTCAAGTCTCCGAAATCTGCTAATTCTAGCGGCCGATGTGCGGCGAAGAGAACAGCGCAGTCAATACCGCGTGTTGGCACAGCCAACACTGCGCCGCACGTCATAGTCTGGGACCGCTTTTCTTCTTGTTTTTTACTTTATTGAGGCGCAGCCTACAGGCGGCGCCAGCAGCGTGCATACCGATGTCCACGTGATCCAAAACGCGCATGCGCTGATGAGCGCCTGAGCGAGCGCTCCGCGCTCGTCGTCGGGAAGACCGAACCTGCTGCGTCTCGGAGCAACGTTTTGTGCTGCGATGCCTGGCATATTACGAGTGATTTACTTAACTTCAACTACTAATGGTTCCAAAACATAACTTTAAAATAACTTGCCTTTTTCTGCGTCAAAACACTCTGCGGCCGCGGTAGTGCACACGTCGTTGGATAGCAAAGACCGTGGAGCAGACGACACGGCGCGGCGACGCTTGCTCCGCCGATCCGTCCGTCCGCGCGGTCGGCGAGGTCGTGCGGTGACGTTCGTACCACGTGGGTTGTCCCAGACTATGACGACGCGGGACCAATGTTGCCAGGCGCGGGCGCAGTTTCGGTTTCGGTTCGTGATCAGGAGTAAAGAAGGATTACGAGAATTATATTTCCTTTTTTGAGAAACAAACGACGTCGAGCCGTTTATTAGTATATCTTAATGTATAATCACCAAAACCCCCGAAATTCCTGGAATTGAGCGGAGTTGTCCTTTAAGTTTTGTCTTACGCACATTTTTGGCGTAAGATCGTTTCGTGAATCTGGCCTCTGTTGAGTTTGGGACACCTATGTGATCACTTCTCCCAGGCTGCGTCCCAACAAATCCTTCTACAGTCTACCATCCATCTTGCACATGACATGTCACACGCATCAATCGCCAGTAAGATCTGCGGTCACGTTGGGCACAATATCGTTTAAACTTTTTATGACTAGGCTTCACCAATATTGCAACGTGTCCTCTCCTTGTACTTATAACCCCTTTGGGCGTAAATTATTAGTCGGCCATTTTGCAAATAGACCCTAAACAAAAAAAACATATATAAAACGTTTTTGTGTTACCACGGTTACGGCGGATACGCACGGGTGTCAGCTCTGGGCATCCACGAGTTAGGACCACGGTGGGAGAAATAGGCACTCTAGGGAGAAACACATTGGACGCCATCTATCCCTGTGCGAGTGAAGCGCCCGGTGCGCCGAACTTAATGTAGTCACCGCGTCGCACAGAGAGTCATCACCTAAATGTTTCTTCCACCGTGATTAAGACCAAACAAAAGGTGCATTAATTTTCTCAAGTTTATTTTTATATGAACTAGCCGCTGTCTGGTTCACCAAAGAAGATTGCCGGGGAATCGGTGACCGAGTGGGCTAGCGCACAGCAGCCTGAGCACGCGCATGGAGCGAAAGCTCGCTCTGCAGGACCCTGTGCTCAATTCCCACACCTGCTCGTTTCGATCTGGATGAGCATCGTACCGGCTAGAGCCACTAAATGAGCTGCGCTTAGAGTATCGGCACTCCGTTCCCCGACATTGTTGTGGGCGCCGCCATTTTGGCTCGTATGCAGAGCAGACATAACTGCCGATCGTCCTGATTCATAAGGGAGACTTCCTCAGCATTAGACTTGGTGTTAGGAAGGTCATCTAATATTGCTTTGCTCTGTTGCGAACTGTTTAAACATTTGTAAAGGGCGGAGATGCGTGTCCTGTGATTTCAGATAAAGGTTCAGATAAATGGCAACCATGATTTTAAGACACAAATGGCGAAGTGTCGTTACTCTGAAGCGTAGTACTAGTACCGGCGTGTGGTTGTTTATCACTACTGCGTGATGCACGTTAAAGACACCAGGCCAGCCGTTGTACTGCACTGGCTAAATTTCTCATCTACAGCTGGGATACTCGTCGCCCGTTGGGCAGATCAAGTTCTAGGCTGTATAAGCATTCACACAACCCAATTTATTTTAGGTTGCCAGCTCGTTTTCTCGCTCCGGTTGCGCTGGTGCTGCGTTTTAAACTCTACGCCTCAGATGCTAAACCTAACACCCGACTTTGATGTGTTCCGAGGCGAGAGAGAGAGAGAAAGACGAGACACCAAGGAGCAAGTCATGCACCGCTCCAAACGAAGGAAAGAACTTTAAAGGGCAACTGCACTCAAAAAGTCGACCCTATAGAAATGACTGTAATCGCTTTAGGGGGTCAAAATACGGTCATGCCCATGTTATCAGGTATAGACCGGGGCAATTCCACAGTAAATGCTGGATCGTAGGGCGGGCTCCAATGCCACGTACGCGCTGCATGTCACGGAACAAGGGGTGGGGTCCGAAGGGAACTCTTCCGGTTCGTCGTCCACCGGTGGTCGGTTTTGGCGCTTCTTCCTGGTGTAGGCTCGGCCTTGGGGTCTGGTCGCGGTCTGGCGAGGCGAGGAGTGGCGGTGTCCTGCGAGCGGTTGGAAGTGGTCTCGCTCGCCAGGTCGTGCGCAGCCTCGTTGCCTTGGTTGCCAGAGCGGCCCGGAACCCAAAGCACCTAGGTTTTTATATGTCTTGTGTCCTGTAGCTGCTTGCAAAGCATCTTGACGTCGTATGCCGCAGTTCCTCTACGGGGTGCTCTGGGGAGTGCCTTGAGTGTTTCCATCGAGTCCGTGTATATTGTAACCTTGGGAGTGTCATCTTTGAGTGCGTCAAACACGCGATGCCGTGGTAGGCGGCGAGCGTCTCCAGCTCGGCCACTGAGGGCTTGGTCTCGTATCGGAGGTGTGGTGTTTGCGGTGGGTGGTGGAAATCCGTTACCAGGGCCGCTCGTCTGGTCTCAGGATTTCAGGCAGCATCGGTGTACCCTGTGGTTTCGTATGGGTCGTCCGATGGTTTGGCGTTACCTGCAACTGTCTCGCGTTGCCTATTGTGGAGGAACTTGCTGGGCTTTATGGTATTGGTTTGGGGGCCAGGACGAGCACGTCTTCCCACGGCGCGAGGCGAGGTGGGATATCTCAAGCAGGCGGGGTTTGCCCGTCATAGTCGAGGAACCTACGGTTTTGTTGAATAAGTTCGCGGTGGTTCGGCCGCGCCCTTTTTCCGGTCTTGGATGATACCGCCGAGTGTTGGCAGTTCTGCATAACGGTATTGTTCCT